CTCTTGCCTCAAACAACTTCTCTTTTTCGTTTTTTTTTTTATTTTTTTTTCAACGTGAACAGTACATAGTGAACAGTACACATGAAAATTTGAAATGAGATAAGGGATCAACTAGCCAATATACATCATACAATGAAACATACACACACCCCCACACTTATTCAAGAACTTATTCCCAAAACAATTCCAAAGCTCCAAAACTCCCTAAGGTTAAGGTAATCATGGTTTTTCGCTTAAGGCTTGTAATGAGCTTCAAACAAAGAAGGGGAAATAGGCTCAATAGGGGTTATCAGAGGAGTTAATTCAAGGTAGGCTTATTTGGCTAGAGGCTTATGAGAATCAAAATGCCTTAATCATATCCAAACATGCATGTGAATCAAGAAGTACCAAACAGAGTCAAGACAAGGCAACTGTGCAAGCAATCAAGAGGCATAACACACAAGAAAGAACAGAGAGTGACGAAATCATGGTTATGAAGGCAAGAGGAGACATCATAAAAGACCCTAGAAGAGTGGGCTAGGCATGAAGACTTGGGTCAGTCAAAGGCCCAATAAGCCCAATGGGCTTGGGAGGTCCACAGTGGAGTTTGTGCATGGGCCTGTCTTGTTGTTATTTGGTAGTATAGGTTTGAGCTGTAAAGCCTTGTATTTCTTTTAGGCCTTGTATTTTGGCCAAGTAGTTTAGGAATTTAATTTCATGATCATTTGAATTTAGGGTTAATTAGGAGTACATGTGCATTTTAATTTACATGTAATTAGCCTTACATTTAGTGAGCATTTCGGCCATGTGCACTCATGCACATGGGATGTTCGAAAATTACTCCTAAATGCAAGGTAAATCACATGGAAATAGAGTGACACATGGGGTGACTAGATTTGCACTACTACAAAATTACTGTTTTACATCGTTACATCTACATCGATTCTTATATAAACGATGTAAATAAGAAACGCGGTGGCAATTTTGTAAATAAATTGAAGATATCAACCATTCTACATCATGTCTATTTCTGACCGATGTAAAAATTGAATATCTACATCGGGTCTTGCATTTAACCGATGTAAAATTGAAGCCAAACTTTCGCAGCCCTTCACCCTCTCTCGCGGGCTCTCCACAAAACAGATATGGTCATTGGAGGCACCCCACTCAGCGCCGTATCACCCAACCAAACCCTCACACCACATGCCGCCAAACAACCTTTCCCTCCACCATCGCCCCGCGGCGCCACCACCGTACAAACCTCGATTTAGTGGAACACGAACTACAGGAGGTGCTTGGTTGCGAATGGCATCCACCGCAAGCCTCGACGTCGCCAACGGCCCCGTGATGAGCCTCTGCGCCCTTCGCAAGAAGCTGAACCGCATCAACGCCATGGAGGACTCCGTTTCCCAAGGGAAGCCGCTCAACAAGGAGCAGGAGGAGGTCCTCCGCTCCAACCCTCCGTCCTCGCCCTCATCGACGAGCTCGAGAAGCTCTGCCAGCCTCTCGCCTCCGCCCTCGCCAACGGAGCTTGAAGCCTCCGCCGCGAACAGTTCGCGGCGCCGAAACCCTAGCCGAGAACTCTGGCTCCAAGCTTCCTCAATCGAGGTTACTTGATATTTGTCTTTTTTGCATCATTTTCAAGCGTCCTCAATCGAGGTTTCAGGTGCAAAACAAGCAAGATGTTGCACCAACCAAGAAGGAAGAGGATGGTGACAACTGGGATCTTCCAGAAGTAGACGCTCCATATATTTCAACCGCATAATCCACTTACATTCTGTGTGATTCTTCACATTTAATTGTGAGAGGCGTTTTATGCATGTGAATTCTGTTAAGTAAAATCACTTCCTTGAACGCAGTTAGTGTATTGTTCAATTCACATTTCTAAGTTATGCAATTCATTCATTTGTGCAACAAAATTTTATTCTTGTTGGTGTCTTGAAAAGGGTTACCTATAAAGAGGCCAATTAAAAAGGCTGAGCAAAACATTGTAGAGTGCCAACCGCCGAGACGTCAGCTCTTAGGGATGATGCTATGATAGGAACTTGGGTACCATGGGATGCCTAACTCCCACATCAAGTAGTATGGGGTGCTTGATGGAGTACTTAAGTGGCTTGGTTCTTCCCCCTTGACAATTAATTTAATTTTTAAGGAACAGTTCCCCAAGTGTTTGAGTTCTTTCAAAATCAAAGTGTGAAAATGGTTGTTTGTAGTAATTTAAGCTGTAGAATGATAGAAGCTTTAATTTTGGAAAAAGTTGTTAGATATAAGTAAATCATTCAAACTGTTTATTGGTCACCTTATTCCTACCACAGTACCTTTGTTCAGTTGCTTTTCAAGATCACTTATATACCTTTCCTGGATGCTTTTTGTTCTTCCTCCCTATGTTCTTTTGACCAGGTGCGGTACACGGGCAAGCACTCACATCTTTCAATGGATTTTGACAAAGTTAGTATCATTTCCTTACTCTTATTATTCCTTCAATCTATAGATTCTGGCAGAGACATTAAGCAAAAGGTTTCATTAAACATTAAAGTTTAGTTTCTATATATTTATTTATAACCACAATTCTGGTCTTGAATTTAAATGTTAGTTTACACATGAAGCTAAACTTTTTTTTTCTTGATTTGTTGGGTGGGTGGATTTTGAAATTTTGAATAGATTATATCAGTGGTTTTGGAGAATTACTTGGATATCCAATCCAAATCCAATCTTTCCAAAGTAGAGAAACTGAATTCACAATCTCAGAACCAGTTGGCCCAAGGATTTCCCATAGAAGGAGACCAACTACATTCTTTATCTAAGAAGGATCCTGCCTTACTCAATAATGTGACAAGAACCGAGACGGAGTCAAAGTTGTATGTTTTCTTTTACAGTATTACTTCTCTCCCCTTTCCCTTTTAATATAAAGCCATCGTATGAGATCCTGACAGCCATTGTGTTCACTACTTCTACAGGGATACTGCTAAAGATCCTGCTTATTGGTCAAAGGTTTGCTTGTATAATATGGCCAAATTGGCAAAGGAAGCTTCAACTGTGCGGCGTGTCCTTGAACCACTTTTTATAATTTTGATATTGATAACCACTGGTCTTCTGAAAAGGGAGTTTCTTCTTGTGTTTTGATTTATTTGCAATCCCTTCTAGCAGAATCAGGTAGCCTTGTAAAAAATTCACTATTATAAATTTTCTTTAAGTATGCAGTTTTATCTAATTTTCTATATAATTAATTGATTATCACTTTTTGAACACCAGGAGATAACTCCCATCTTCTACTATCCATTTTGGTCAAGCACTTGGATCACAAGAATGTTGCCAAGCAGCCTATCCGTCAGATTGATATTATTAACACCACCACGCAGCTTGCACAAAATGTGAAGCAGCATACTTCAGTTGCAATCGTTGGTGCAATATCTGACCTCATTAAGCATTTAAGGAGATGCCTCCAAAATTTAACTGAAGCATCCAGCATTGGAAATGATGCAGATAGGTTGAATTCTGAACTTCAGTCTGCCTTAGAAATGTGTATATTACAACTTTAAAGCAAGGTATTTGTGCTAACATCATGTCTCACTTTTTTGTTTGGCTTTCAAACTTTATATTATGCGACACTTGATATCATTCTGAGGCCTCAGCTTTGATTTTTGAATAAAGTTTCTTGGATTCATCATAATTTATAGATCCAATTTGTTATCTATTATGTTTTTTTACCAGATGTTAGCTAGTGTTTATAATAATACTCAGGAAACCAATACACAACCATAGAGCATAACTACCAAAACAGAGGAAGGCAATGCAGACAAAATGCTTAAGGTACTTTTGCTTCAATTTTGATGAAAAATATGTACTTTTAAATTTGGTTCCTTTGACTGATCATATACTTTTTACTATACATCGGCAAATGTTGATAATAAAGTTCTGGAAACCAATATAAAACCGCAGTCCGTGGCTACTGTAAAGGAAGATGAAGCTGACAAAATGCAGAAGGTACTTTTGCTTCAATTTTGATTATAAATATGCACTTTTATGAATTTGGTTACTTTGACTGATTATTATATATTATTTTACTAGGTGTCAACAATTGTTGATGATAAAGTTTTGGAAACCAATATAAAGTTTTGCACTTAAAACCTTTTGTTTTAAATATAAACCGGATTTTCTTTTTATAGCTGAATCGTTAATTTCAATTTCTAAAATTAATGAGCTTGAAAAGGTAATCCACAAAACACACATTTGTCCTTTTTTATTCTTTTTTACCTTAGTTGTAAGCCTTTTTTTTTGCCAATAATTAGTATAGTATACCACTATAACTGCTCAGCGGCCACCCCTATAAATGGTATATGATAGTTGTAGACACGAGCTTCTCACCTTTCTTAGCAATTCTAATTCAAAGGAAGAATACAATATATAATATAGAGTTCTATGTCTAAAAGTGAAAAATTGGAATGTCAAACTCTGGCCCTTAACAAATATTTAAAACTAGATATTTTCTAGATTCCTAAACTTGACAATTTGCAAGCAATGATAGAAGAATAAGTAATTTTTCTTTTT